GAAGGGCCCGAATGGCCTACTTCTACTCCTAATTCATGTGTTCTTATTGTTCGTAATTGGTTACAGCACTGCAGGAGGCCATTCGGTCCATCATGTCTGTACCAGATTCGGGTCTCTTTCAGATTTAGCCCAGTTTGTAGTGTGTCTTGATGTTGTCATTTTAAGCTTCCAGTTGATGTGTTTCCCATTTCCCATGACAGGGAGTGGCTTCCTGTATTTAAGTTAGCAAAGTTTACACTGTATCCCAGCAATCGAATCAAAATCTATCTGACAAGATGAGGGAGAATGGGGAGAAGTGTTTTTTTTATTATAGAATCCCTACAGTGTGGAAGCGGGCCATTTGGCCCATTGGTCCACACCAACCTTCCACAGCACATCCCACCCAGACCTACCTTATCCCGTAACCCCACATTTCCCATGGCTGATCCACCTAGCCTGCACATCCCTGAACACTATGGGCAATTTAGCATGGCCAATCCATCTAACCTACACATCTTTGGACTGTGGGAGGAAACTGGAGCACCTGGACGAAACCCACGCAGACACTGGGAGAATGTGCAAACTCCGCGCGCACGGTCGACCCAAGGGTGGAATTGAACTCTGGTCCCTGTGAGAGGCAGCAGGGCTAACCACTGAGCCGCTGTGTTTTACCTATATTAGCTGAGGGAGCCAGTGTTAGGAATTAACAAATATGAAAAATTGGAACTTGACTTCATTTTTCATGGAAATGTTCATTGGCTTTAATTTGGAATAGAAAGGCAAAGAAAATTAAATGGGGAGAGGGGTGCATGGAGATTGTGTACATAATTTTATAAGCATCGCTAAATTGTGTGATTATGTGTAGCTGGTTGGAGATTAAATGAACCAAGAAAAAAGTTGATTGTCAGTGTATATTGACTTTTTTGTTTGGGAAGAAAATAAATTTCTAGTTTTTAAGCCAAGTCTCGATTTTTGAAGAGTTTGCTGTTTTATGTGCCTGTGAGGTTAGCAATACAATTGTAATGTAGGAAATACATCAGCCTTCAACAGCAGTGATTTGGACAGATAGCTACGCAACACAGGTTATTACTTTGAGGGATTATTTCATAGAGTGTGGAGTAATCAAAGTTTCTATTGCAGCATTATAAGGAAAGAACAAATTGGCATTTGAATAGCACTGAGCATGCCAACAGGGCCTCTCATTGTTTTACAAGCCCACGATGCAAAGTTTGTTTGACAAGGAAAGCTGAGGGCCAAGTTTTCTGCACAGCAAGATTCCACAAATAATAAATGTAATGTTTTTCGTTGGTCGTTATTGAGGGTTAAATGTATTCAGGAACCAGAGTTAGTCATTTGGCTCCTCAAGTCTGTTCTGTCAAGGAGAGACTTGTTGCCTATGAGAGAGTGGGGGAGGGGAATCGAGGAGAAAGTGATGGGGGGGTGGGGAAGGAGAGACCATGAGGGTGAGGTGTAATTATTGAGTATAATTATCAGCATGGAACCCTTGGGCCAAATAGTCAGTTTCTGGGATTCCATGGCAGCATAAAGTCAAGCTGAAGTATCCCTGGACAACGAGTAAAGGAAAAGTGATTTAACTTGTCATTTCATATTGTTCCTGTTGAGGGGGGGAGAGATGGTCACTATGTGAAAAGCGGATGCCATGTTTTACTGCAACATGGTTCCTGTGCTACTAAAAGTTAGTGTGTGGACTTTACAGAGTAGTTTTAGATGTTATATCAATTCAGGTTTGATTTTCCTTTTGCATGGTATTAATTAACCATGCAGGAATTAAAGATGAACCTTTGGGCATAGAGCAGCAAAAGCCTGGATCAAAATTATAGGGCTATTTAAAGGAATCTGTTTTTATTTAAAAAGGAACAAGCAATTTTCTTTGAATTCATTTGTGTACTGGTTATAAAATAATGGAGATGAATGGGTGGTGGGGGGAAGGACATTTGAGGTTGCAGGATATTTTATTAAAATCGGCACAGAACTGGCAGCTCTGATGGCCGAGTCAGTTGTTGGTTACGTTGCAGATGGAGTTGAGTCAAAGTGAGGGAGGGCAGTGTTGGTGAATCAATTATACAAGGTTAAACTGACACTTGTACCATTACTTAAATGGTGAAAACTAGGAACAGTGAAGGTGCAAAGAGATTTGGAGATCCATATATATCAAATAATTAGACTACAGTAACCATGTACAAAGATGCCAGTAATGTGGTTCAGAGACCCTACACGCTGAGCGTTCTGGGATCAAGTCCTACTCTAGGGCCTGAGGGCAAACTTCAACGCTGATACTCAAGTGCAATGGTTATATTGCCGTTTGGCATTTTGGATATTGTCAGTGCTTGGCATTTAGGTAATGCTGATGTTGCTTGCCACATCTCCCAAAACTGAATATTGTCCAGTCCTTACTTCAGCATCTGGGAAGTCACAAATAGTGCTAATATGAGGAAACACTGGATCGACTAGTCTTGTACATCCCAGAACTTAGAAGAATGAAGGAATCCTGTTGGGTCTGGACAGGCTACATGTGGGAAGAACATTCCTGATGTTGGGGAAGTTCAGAACTAGGGGTCACCAGTCTAAGAATAAGGGGTAAGCCATTCAGGAGTGAGATAAGGAAGAATTTCTTCATGGAGTTGTGAACCTGTGGAATTCTCTCCCACAGAAAGCTGTTGGGGTGAGTTTGTTAGATATGTTCGAGAGAGCTGGACGTGGCCCTTGTGGCTAAAGGGATCAAGGGCTATGGGGAGAGGCTGGGTGTAGGATATTGAAATTGCATGATCATATTTCTGAGAGACCCCCTGAAATTCTTCTAAATTCCAGTGAGTACAATCCCATTCGATCCAGTCTTTCCCCATGTGTCAATTCTGTCATCCTCGGAATCAGTCTGGTGAACCTTCGCTGGACTCTCTCAATAGCAAGAATGTCCGTTCTCAGACTAGGAGACCAAAACTGCACACAATATTCAAGGTGTGACCTCGCCATGGCTCTGTATAACTGCAGCAAGATATCCTTACTCTGATACTCAAATCCTCTCACTATGAAGGCCGGTATGCCATAAGCTTTCCTCACCGCCTGCTGCACCTTCAACAACTGTTCCACCATGACACCCAGGTTTTGTTGCATCTCAGCTTTTCCTAAACTGCCTTACTGTTTTTGCAAATCAGTCGAATATCAGAAGATTCACTAGATTAATTCCAGAAAGGAAAGGCTTGTTTTATGAGAGGTTGAGCAGATTATACTCTTTTTGTAGATTAGGAGGTTGAGAGGAGATCTAATTGACGAATATAAAATGTTAGAGGGGATTGATAACATAGATAAAGAGAGGATGATTTCCCTTTTTGGGGCAATCTGAAATAAGAGGGCATAGTTTTAGGACAAGGGTGGCAAATTTAAACCACAGATGATAAATTACTTCTCTCAAAGGATCGTGAGTCTCTAAATTCAC